ACGGAGTGGAGGAAAGGCTGCAAGGACCGGTCTGGCAGCTAGGCAGGACTGAGGTTCGGGCGCGTATATCTTTTAAATTTTATACCCTAGACCAAAACGAGGAGTTAACCCTTGCAGTGCGGGGGTAGCCTCACTGCAAGGGTTCTGAGTTCTTCTTTAAGTTCTATGGGCACGGCATGGTGAGGGAAAGTACAGCATGGAGTACTTTTTTCCGTGTACACGAACATGTTCCACCACAATACGACGGTGGGAACTGTGCCCATCCATAATAAGACAAATTGCCTTGTCTGGCTTTGGAAAATACGGCCAGCGCAGCCCCAACACATCTGGTGTGAATTCACCTTAAAGAAGATGTTGACAGCGGCTGTAATTACTGTTTACTTTTACTTTTTTTGTGCACAGCTTGAGCAAAGTAAATACATCTAATAAATACATATGAAGGAGCTACTCTGCTTTCACTGCTGAGAGTTACACTGTTATATATTTTTTTGTTCAGCCTCTGGACTGACCGAAAAATATAACAGAGTCCTCTATCCACACTGATAGTGTGGATGGACAAATCTTCCCCGGGGCTATTGTATTCTTACAGTCAGGGTTGTCTCTATAATGAGGCAGCCTGAGGCAACATCTCTTTGGGTCACATAGTGGAGTGGCAGGCAGAAAAGCAAAATGTTTGCATTGTGCCTTCTGCCCCATTCCAGCCAGAGCGTCCCAGGTTGCTAAGATCCGGGCGGGGAGAGGTGTAAGAGCCATACACATCTCTCTGCCCAGCTCTAAGCAACCTGGGACGCTCTTGTTGGTGTCCCGCCGAGCTCCTGGCAACCAGTGATGTCACTAGTTGCCAGGAGATTGGTGGGATGCTGGCCAGAGCAGCCCAGTTTGTTAAGAGCTGGGCTGGAAGATGCAGAGCTCTTATACATCTCCCCACCTGGCTTTTAGCTGCATCACTTTCCACCTGCAACATAACCTCCCAGGCCACCTCAGCTGGCAAAAAGGCTAGGCACACCCCTGATTACAGCGGCAGGTGTGCCGCTGTCAGAATACCTGCACAGTGACAGTAGCTGATTGGCTGCCGTCACTGTTTTCACAAAATTATTCCAGATGTCTCCTTCAATGTATTTATCCCTGAATGTTTTAATTTAGGAAGGGGTGTTGTGCCTTCATTACCCATCAGCCAATACCAATACCAATACAATACAAATGTATTGTTTTGCTGGAAAGTTCACAGTTTAGTTTTCCTTAACAGTCTCCCTTATGGGGCCCTTTCCTACCCCAGGCCCCGGAGCAGCCACGTGGGCTCCTATGGCAATTGTTCACAAGCATCTATGGATCAATATCAGGGACTGTGATATGGCAAAGGGTCCTAGGCTTGCTATGTGGTTGGTATATTACTGGTAAATATGAGACTAGTTGCCAGTGTTATTAATAGGAAAGAGATCATAAGGGCAGGATTATTTTTTTTTAAATGAAGGAACCTTTAGTTGTTCCTATGACATATTTGTATCTTACATACCTACCCTGATGCCTTTAAAAGAGAAATATGACCCAACCTTTTTTTGGCCGTAGTTCTCTTTAGGGTCACAGGAGGACATTTACTATGTCCTCCTGTGACCCAAACTCAGCATATATCGAGCTATTGCCTGCTATATGCTGAGAGCGCAGAGTCGCGCTGCCGCCAGGAAAGATCCCCTCAGTATTGTCGGGATCCACCCCGCCACCTGACTGATCTCTAGAGAGGCAGAACCATCTGTGCCCGCTCCCTCCCTCATCCGTCCCTCCAGTCAGTGCTGGAGGAATGGGGAGGGGAAGGGGGAATCCCTGCGGGGAGCGGTGACTGTTAGGCTGGGTTCACACCTAGGCGTATTGAATATGCACATTTGTTGCGTGTTTCGCTGTAAAAACGCGAGACAAACGCGCGTTTCCAAGGGCTACCTGGCTGTATCCCAATGGATACGCGCTGCAAATATGCCCCAAAGATGCTCCTGTACTTCTTTGGGTGTAGGGCGTTTTGCAGCGCGTTCCTACGCACTGTAAAACGCCCAGCTGGGAACCATGCCCATAGGCAATCATTGGTTTTCACATGTTGAGTGTTTTACAGAGCGTAGGAACGCGCTGTAAAACGCCCAGGTGTGAACCAGGCCTTAGTCACAGCTCTCTGCAGGGAGAAGATTGGGGAACTGAGTGATCAGTGGTATGTGATCGATAAGTTCTCGATCAATAGAGCCGACGTGTGACAGCTGCAGTGTCACACGTCAGTTATAATTATGTGGATAAGTGTATTTCACTCTCCCCATAAATCTCCTTTATATACCTTTTGATCTACACTAAACACTTGTCACGTTAGTATTCAGTGTAGCAGCAAAAAATCTAATCAAATGTGCAGACAGAGTAACACCATGAGTGCTTTAAGGTGAGTACAATACTGAAGTGTGCAATTGAAATATGGCTGATTATTAGTCAGACACCAATGCTAGCACCATAGGGGGCATTGGGCTACACAAACTGCCTAAAATAAACAAATGTCCATTACATATAACACATGTGGCTCTTCATGTTTATTGAATTGCAATGCCCCTCTGGTCAGACCTCATGGATCTGTGCTGGGGGGGTGTAGTGCAGGTGTCAGACGACCACCAATGAAGCATGTCATTAAATGCACATAAATAATGCAATTATCTGGACCAGGGTGACAAGGCGATGAATCAAGTGCTTTATCTGTGTAGGGAAAACAATTATTGGTAATAGCTCAGACACGCTGTGCCCTATACCGTGCACTGTGCATGTTGGTTGGGGGATCATTTATGATATAAAAATATTACTGTCTGCTTGGATTTACACTGACAGAATCTTGTATTACACTGAACTTTGTCATTTGTCTGCTTAAAGTGTTTGAATGAATAGACAACATGTTTGTTTTTCTTAGTTTAGACAGGGAAGGGTTAAAGCCTCACCAATTAATTTTTTTTTTTTCTTTTACTTCCCTTCCTGTCCCAGAGATGCAACAGGAAGCTAAAGGAAATGTCCCAAAGTAAGTGGAATTGCCCTCTTAGGCCTGGTTCACACCTGGGCGTTTTACAGTGCGCTCCTATGCTCTCTAAAATGCTCAACATGTGAAAACCAATGATTGCCTATGGGCATGGTTCCCACCTGGGCGTTTTACAGCGCGTAGGAACGTGCTGCAAAACACGCTGCAAAACGCCCTACGCCCAAAGAAGTACAGGAGCTTCTTTGGGGCGTATTTGCCGCGCGTATCCATTGGGATACAGCCAGGTAGCCCTCGGAAATACGCGTTTGTCTCGCGTTTTTTTACCGCGAATGGCGGTAAAAATGCGCGGCACGAAACGCGCGACAAACGCGCATATTCGATACGCCTAGGTGTGAACCCAGCCTTAGAGAGTTGTAACAACAGTCAGTAGAACAAAGAGAGGGGCAAACTTTCCCAGTGAGGACACACCATAAAAAAGAATGACAAAGGGCCCAAAGCTGGTCATATACTATATGAGATTGTACAGAGATTGTACAATCAGATTGTATAGTGTAGGACCAGCTACATAAAACTATCTACTATGTTCGTTAGCAATACTAACTGACCGAATTTTGTCGATCGACAGAACTGATTTTCGTTTGCGCATGTGCAGTGTTCATGTTGCAAAAAAACTTCACTAGTCCATCGATTTTTCGTTTTCTAGCCTGACTGAGCTGGGAAATTAGGCCAGTTGTACAGTAATCCTGATCATTCACTTCCCATCAACTGGCCCATTATAGTACGAAAACCCGATCTGGTTCAGAAATCGAAAGATAATCGCAAGGTGTATGGGCACCTTAATCAGGCAAACCCTCTTACAACATAGTTGTTGGGCGACCTAAAGGAGATTGTCCAATTAGTTTGTATGGTGTGTGATCACCTTTATAGACATTGTAATATCAGATTGTATAGTTTATTGGAAGCTTAAAGTGACATTAAAGTCAAAAAATGTTTTCCTCCCCCCAATGTTAATGTCAACATTTACCTTAAAGGATGTCTCTTAATCTGATCTTCTTCTTTCCCGATATTTTCATCTGTCTCTCCAGCGCTGCGGCGGGTCTCCGATCCAGCGCTGACTCCTCTGCGCTTGCTGGTACTTCCTGTCCCACGGTGTCTGCATGCGGGGGCACGCGTCCATATACTTACCTTGTGTATCTACTCGCGTCCCGGCCGAAAAGACACAGGTAAGTTTTGACCACTTTTTTTTTAACACTTTTTGCATATATCTACAGCTTGCATTAAAGTATCATTAAACAGAGGGTTTAATGATACTGTAATGGTCATCAGAACAAATAGAGGACCGAATCTACCCCAGCGGGGACGCTTAATAAAACTTGAGGGTCCAACCTTTCCCCACTCTATCCAAAAGTTAAAAAAAAGGGTTTCTTAGAGAGAGACTTTGTTTGGAAAGGAAGCCCATCCCTGAACTGTAACTTACATGTTACACTTCCTGTATATGGCATACTAGTGATAACATGTACACGTAATTACTAATAATGAGGTTTAATAGATCTTTTGTTTGTAAATAAAGCCCATCCCTAAACTGTATGTTACATATATTATAAATGTTATATGTTACATTAATATTATTATTTATTATTATTGCTACATTTATATAGCACCAGCAGTGTGCGCGGTATATTTAGAATATAAGGAATACATTTCAATCACAATACAATAAATTGTAAATGTTACATTTCCTGTATAAGGAATATGAGTGATACATTAGCATGTAGGAGTGATGATCACTATGGATAATGTTGTTTAATTTAATCTCCTGTGGATGCAGACATCCCCTCCATGCCAGGGGCAAGTCATCCCATTGCAGCCACTTGTTGATGTCATTATGTGATGGGGAGGGGATTTCCATTAGGTGATGATCAGACACTCTCTGGGTGGGGGGAGGTCATCAGAGCAGTTGATAAAACTCATCACCTTCCCCAGGCAGAGTCATTATCCGCTTCTATCTTCCAGCATGTGTCCTGTGATTGTTCTGGGGCTGTTCCTGGTGTCCTGTGCCGGCCAGCAGTTTGGAGAGTACTGCCATGGCTGGACGGACAATTATGGAGCCTGGCACCCTGGATTTCAGTGCCCGGAGCGCTATGACCCCCCGGAGGCCACCTACTGCTGTGGATCTTGTGCTCTCCGCTATTGCTGTCCGGCCAGCGAGTCCAGACTGGACCAAGGACTGTGCCCGAGTGAGGAGGGGGACGACGTGTCCAGGGACGGAGCTCCGGCTGTCCCACTGCCAGCTACAGGTAATGCAGCTTCTATTCCTCACCCAGTGCCAGCTATTGATCTGTACCTCGAGGGATTCCATTTCTCTGTCTGCCATGTTTAAACCTTCATTTTATCGTCTAAGAACTCCTTGTAGTCATTGGCAGCTGTATAGTGTAAAAGGATATGTGATGCATCAACACTTGTTTTCTAGTTTTGGATGGGGGGGGGGGGGGGGGAGGGAAG